TGATTATTAGGAAACATATCATCTTGTAATAGACACCATTACTTTTAGATTTTTAATTAGTTTAATTGTATAAAAAAAGCTCAATATGCGCCTTATGGATGTAGTAGCTGCCTATATATATGGTACGCTTGATAGTGATATATGAAAGTTCTCGAAGGACTTCAAATATCATGAACAAATGATATATGCTTGAGAACCATGTTCTCAATTAAATTGCAAATATCATTATATGGATTGAAACAATTCGGACGCAAGAGTATAATCGCCTTAGCAATATATTTGTTGAATGAATATTACAAAAATGATAATATCTACCCCATGTGTTTTCATATAGAGAAAACAAATATGGGATTTGTAATTTGTAACGGTTTATGATAATGATTTAAATTTAATTGAATCTCCTAAAGAGCTCAACAAAACTGTAAATTATTTTTAAAAAAAAATGAATTTGAGATAAAAGATTTGGGAAAAAATAAATTTTGTCTCGGCTTGCAAATTGAACACTTCCCAAAAGAATTATTTGTTCATTAATCTACATGTACAAAAAAAGTTCTAAAACATTTTTATATGGATAATGCACATCCATTTCCATCACCTATAGTTGTTCGATCACTTGATGTGAACAATGATCCATTTTATTCACTTGAAGATGGAAAAGAGATTCTTGGTCTTGAAGTACCATCCTTAGAGCAATTAAAGCATTAACTTATCTCGTAAATTGCACTCGACCCGACATAACTTTTTCTGTAAATCTATTTGTAAGATATAACTCTACACCAACTCAAAGACATTGAAATTGTGTTAAACATATTATTCGTTACCTAAAGGGAACTGTTGATTTCGGATTATTATATTCTCAAAAGTCGAAATTCACTTTAGTAGAATATGTAGATGCAAGTTATATCTCTGATCCACATAAAGCTAAATCACAAACTAGATAAGTATTTATATGTGGAATAATATCTATATCATGGAGATCTGTGAAATAATTCTTGATAACATCCTCAAATTATTCTAAAATTATTGCAATCCATGAAGCGGGGTTGAGAATATGTATGGTTGGGTAACATGATCCATCATATACAAGCACCATGCGAGTTAACTTTAACAAAATATAGTACAACAATCTTGTATGAAGGCAATATAGCTAGTATTATACAACTCAAAGAGACTATATCAAGGTGACTGACGAAATATATTTTTTCAAAATTCTTTCATAAGAAGAGTTTCAAAAGAATGGAGACATCGATGACCAACAAATTCGCTCAAGTAACAATGTGGCCAATTTTTTAATAAAAGTATTGTCGACAACTATATTTAAGAAATTGGTTAATGAGATTGGAATGCGTCGATTCAAAGATTTTCAGTGATCAACATTAGGGGAATAGCTGTACTTTTTTTCCTATGCTTAGATTTTATCTCACTTGATTTTCCTAACAATGTTTTAATGAGACAGTATTTATTTTTAATACTTCAAAATAATTGTACTCTTTCTTCTTCGTTTGATTTTTTTGTCCCATTGGACTTTTATCAAACAAAATTTTAATGAGACATATATTCTATAATGTGTCATTCAAGGGGAGGTATTCTAAATTGTAAGTTTATTAGTGAATGACAATTGTACCTCTAAAATCCTAGAAATTATTACCATTGTATCCATAATTATTCCCTATATATATAAGGTTTTGTTCTTAATAAAACACATACAAATTGATTGACTTATATTATCCCTTCTCTTTTTCTCTCTTTTCATAACATGTTCAATATTATTTTAAATGTGGCATATTTATGGTAGAGGTCCTAAATCTATCTAGAATATACAATAAAATCCTAAACTTTTTAATCTTAGCACCTCATCTCAAATCTTTAATAAATGTCCATCGAAAGGATCTCTAAATAGTTTGACCCAAAAATTTGTTAATTGACCAAAAAGTCAAATATCTTAGATTCATTTGATCAGTTTAATGTAAGGTAAAGTAATCTTTTTCATATTTTTATTTAAAACAATTAAAATGAAAAAAGATAAACATAAAAATTTACATAAAAAAAGAAAAAGCATATATGGATCTCAACTTCGTGATTACGTAAAAATGATGGTATGGGTCTTGAGGAGCAAAACAAAGACGCTGGCCAATTGGGTCATGTCTCCGGCTAATCTAAATATATCAATCTTTCCCCCCCTTTTTTTTCATTTTTTTTTTAAATCGATAATCAGAAAAAAGAAATTGATAATCCAAAATACTATATATCAAAAATTTCTTTCTTTCTATTATTTCTTAAAACGGACCTCTAGGATGATCCACACAAAGTGGAAGAGAAATTAGTTTTTCTTATTCTACTTTCCTGTCTTATTCATTTTCTATTATTTTGTTCACAGATGTGTTTTCCCCATAAATGCTACATTAATTGTAGAGAGTTTCGAGATCTCTAATTTCCTCATAAAATCATATTCAAAATTCCGGTTCAGATCTACTAGTTTTAAACTTGAAACTATATCCGATTGTGGTGGGATGGGGAGTGCGTGGTGTAATGGTAGGGATGAAGGTGGGTGGAGAGAGTCGCGGTGATAGTGGTAGTGGTAGCAGTGGTGGGGATGGAGGAATGGAGAAGAATATCTATATATTTTCTTAAAATATTTGTTTATCTTTTCTTATTTTATTTATTTGAAGTGGAAAAATGTTAAAAGAACACTTTATCCTATGTTAAATTAGTCACTATAGGTAAGACATTTGATTTTTGGTGAACCGACTGATTTTTATATGGAAATCGTTCGAGTTCCTTTTGGGGTACGTTTTCTTTATTTTTTATTTTATTTTATTATTATTATTTTTTTATATCCAGATATCCACCTTACAGTGACTAAATCCTAAAGTTTACACATTGGCTCCTCAAGTTGCAGACAAGTTGAACAGCAGGTTGTGCTCCAAACTGACTAGTGCTCAAGAGGCCCCCAACTGATATGTCAAAGTGCCAATCAAGTCTTTTCTCATCTTTGCACCTTGCCTTCTACTAGAACTCCTGTCTTTCAGGAGAATATCTGTCTTCCAAGAGCCTTCCAAAAATCGAACTCACGACCTTTGATCTGCTAGTTTTGAAGCTCTATCATTTTTGCCAGTTGAAATGTGCCCTAGGGGCTTCTTTTGGAGTACGTTTGTTAAGAGGTTTGGGGGTATGTGTTAATATTTGAAGGGCTTGGACTAGTTGCACATTTTTTTAAATGTTTGAAACCTCTACTGTAAATTCTGCAATAAATATTTTGTAACAATAGCATAAATGTCAACTTTGAAAATTTATTACTAGTCTATTAGCTGATAAAAAGCACTACTTATTGTTCCATGGCATGTCCTATTTAATATCAAGTCAATGTTTGTCTTCCATTTTTTCAGAAATATTTCTTCTTTTTTTTTTAAATCATGATTTTTAGTCACATATTCTTCCATATAAAATTTTAAATGTAAATTTAATTTTTTTAAAAATATTTTAGTCACACATTCTCTAAAAAATCACTATTTCAAAATACATTTTCCCCAAAAATGGGGCTCAAATAGGAAGTAGATATAATTTTATGGCATGTTCTTGAATAGGATTTGCGACGTAGTATTTGGAGGGAAAAAATTAACGAGTATAAAATTATGGAAAATTGAATAAGAAGAATCATTATGGATTGTTAAAACCAAAAATGCTAAATGTACCACCTGGTTTACAACTTGGTTTACAGAATTTACAGGTGGCAAGATCTTATACTATTTTTAACAAAAATACACAATTAATCCAACCATTAAAAATTTAAAATGTTGCTATGTCATCATCTGTAAAACTGTTTGTACAATTAATCTATTCAAATAGTTTTATTCTTGTTAAAACACTATGTTTATTGTTACTAGAAAACGTACAAGTATTGCAAAATAAAAATTTTATTACAGCATTTTTATTTGTAATATAATTTTTCTTTATAACAATATTTTTTAATTATAACATATTGTTTCTCATAAGTAATTTCATTATTTACCACTTAAAAAGTGAATTCCTTAGTCATAAGTAATTTTCAATTATAATTTTTATTATTTATTTATTACTTACAAGCCTTATTTTTTTTCAAAAATTTTTAGTTATGAATTTGAATAACTTTTTTATAAGCTATTTTTTTAACTCGTGATTTATTGATTTATTTTTTTTTTACTTAAAAGTTATTTTTTTAATCTTATAAGATTTTTTTAAAATTAATAAGTAAAATATTACTTAAAAATTAATTTAGAAGCTGATTATTTTTACTTATAATTGATAATTTTACTAAGTAGTGAAAGATTTAGTTCATATTCACTTGTAAAAAATTTACATATCTAAATTGACCTTTTTTCTTCATTCATAAAATGCTGAATAAGTAATACAATTTTGTTGTAAATGATAAGTTATTTGTGAATGTTAACTGTATCCCTGCAATCCTAGAAATTACCATTGTATCCATAATTCTTCTTTATAAATGTAGTGCTTTGGTTATTAATATAATAAACACAAGTCTATTGACTTTTATTATCTCTTTTCCTTTTCTCTCTTTTCATAAACATTATTAGCATGATAGCTTAATTTTTAAAAATTTAGTAAAAGTAATAATTTTTTATAAGCATAAATATTTATTTATTTATAATTATTTTTTTTCAAAAGCTCCAGATTTTATAGATTAGCCCTCACATATGATGGAGGAATATCATGGATACAACTCCACATCACAAATAGACTTTAAAGACAAACTATTAATAAATTCGTACATATGGAAAATGATTTCTATTTGATATAATCAAGTTAGTAACTGCCTCGGGAAGATTTGCCATATCATGGAAGATAGCCGTATTTCCACTTCCACCTATTTTAGATAATGCGTCTGCAACTTGGTTTGCTTCCCGATAAACATGTCCGAACACCACTTCCCTTCCCATTATATGATCATTTATCTCCTCCCATTCTTTCCAAAATTTCCATCTTGTACATCATTTATTGAGGAATCAGTTCACAACGACTTGAGGATCACTTTCAATTACAATATTTAGGAAATTTCGTTCTACACATATGTGAATACCTTCCAAAAATGCTTTTAGCTCCGCCCATGTGTTATTACTGTGACCATAAAACGTGTAGAAAGCATAGATGAGCTCTCCATTTTCCTCCCTAATCACTCTGCCTCCACCACAATTACCAGGATTTCCTATGCAACATCCATCAATGTTTAATTTAACCCAGGTAGGGAGGGGAGGTATCCACCGAACAAACTTAGAGATTTTATTATGCGGTTTTCTTTTTTGAATCCCCAAAACTCGTAACGCAATACAATTAGACAAGGATAGCCTAGACACCTTAGCCACATTAGCACATAGTTCACCCATCCACTGCTTCGCTGAAGCCCAAATCTGATCATAGTTAATAGTCGTACCTTCCATCTTTTTTTGGCACCTTGCTGTCCAAATCGCCTAGAAAATTAGAACATGGAAAAAGCCAATAATCATGCCTCCTTGGGACGTTTTTGATGCCTTAGTGAACCAAAAATTCATTCTTTATCTCCAACCTAAAGATGGTATGTGAGAGATGCCTATCGCTGTCGATATTTGATTCCAGAGAAATTTCGCCAGGTCGCTACCATCCAACAAATGGTCGAGAGATTTACAATGAAGTGTTGCACAACATACACATTTTAATGCTAAGGAGATCCCCACCATTTGTATTCTTTCATCCACAGCAAGCGCCTTATGTATAGCTTTCCAAGTAATGAAAGAGATTTTTTTTTGGAATTATTGGATGCCATACCCATTTATCCCAATCTACACCCTCCTGTTTGGCTCGAATAAGCTCCCAAGTGCTCCTAGTACTAAACATGCCATCTGGAGATGGTTTCCAAACAACTTTATCCACTCCTTGACGTACTTTTGGAACGTATTCTATTGCAGCTTTAGCTAAATCATTCCATATTAGATATGATAAGACATCTTCATTCCAACCCCTTGAGGTCACCACAACATTTAACCTCAATTCAGGCTCCACTACCTCCACTAGGTTTGATAGCGGTGTTAGACCAAACCAATTATCTTGCCACAAATTAACATCTCCGCTTTTTATGTGCCATACCGAATTTTCAATTACTATAGGTATCAAACTTGCTATGCTCTTCCAAAAAGGCGAGTTTAAGGCTGATATCTGGATCTCATTGTATGAGGAAAATGTTTTGCTTTTAGGAAAAGTTGTAGTAGAGAAACAGAGAAACACATTTTCCAAGCAAGTCTTGTTTTTAGGGCCACTTGTACTTTTGCTAAGTCTCGAATGCTTAGACCTCCTTCTGATACTGGCTTGGTTATTTTTCCAAAACTCACCCAATGTTCGCTTAGCTTTACCATCTGCCTCTCCCTAAATAAATTTTGAGATCAAAGAATGAATTTGATTAATAACCCCTTGAGGTACGCAGATGACCGCTAAGATATGTATAGGCATATTTGAAAGAATATGCTTTACAAGAGTTAATCTTCCTCCAAACAATAAGAGTAAAGATTTCTAGCCAGATATTTTCTTTCTCACCTTCATAATCAGGGCCTCGAAATGTCTGATACATAAACGACCTGGAGATATTGGAGCACCCAGATATGTGATTGGAAAAGATCCTTGTGTGAAGTTACTCAAACGAAGTGATTTATTTTTCCTCGACAAGTATATGTGTTTCGAGAAAAATATTACTGATTTCCTGTGATTCACTTTCTGCCCCGACATATTTTCATAAATGCCTAAAATCTCCACCAATGCTTTAATGGATGCTTTACTGCCATTATAAAAAAATAATTAGATCATCAGCATATAGCAGATGAGAGATACGAAGTGCCCCAACAGGGAAGAGAGTAATTTCCAATGCGTTGTTCCAAACTAGCCTATCGTAGCATGCATGTAAGAGTCCCCTCAGCAATAATAAATAAGTATGGAGAGAGGAAATCTCCTTGATGGATTCTCCTGGAAGATTTAAAAAACCCCGATAAGTGCCATGCATCATCACCGAGAATGAAGGTGCATCAATACAATTTTGTATTAATTGGCAAAATCGTGTTGAGAAACCGAAAGCCTTTATGACTGCCATCAAGAAATTCCATTCAAGCCTATCATATGCCTTCATCGTGTCTACTTTGAGCATTGCATTTTCCCCTTGTATCTTCCTGTTAAAGTTCCGAAGTAATTCTTGTACCAAGGCAATATTATTGAATATACTTCGGCCCCTGATGAAGGCACCTTGCTCCTTCGATATAAATTTAGGAAGTAAAGGTTTCAATCTGTTCACAATTACCTTGGCAAAGCATTTGTAGATCACTAAACACAAGCTAATGGGTCTGAAGTCTCCAAAGCCACCAGGAGCATTGACTTTCAGATAAGGACTATATAAGTTGATGTGTAAAAATTGGGTAGCATAGACCCACTAAAGAAATCGGCCGCAACCTCCCAAACATCTTCTCCAACGATATCCCAACAACTCATATGAAAACTCAATGAGAAACCATCAGGTCTAGGGCTATTATCCTGTGGAATGCTTTCCATTGCAGATTTAACTTCCTTGTGAGATGGAGCCTCACACAATATGACATTATCGTCCAATGATATACTCGGTGCAATCAATGAATTCAATAATTCAATCCTCGATATGCGCATCTTTGGAAGATTTTTTGACTTATACATTTTTGGTAATTAATTTTTCTATATAAATTCATATAAAATCTATATAGTAATTAAATATTTTTAGATGTTTTTCTATAAACTTTAAATTAATAGTTTATCATATTGCTCTTGGAGTAGCACAACATTATAATTAATATTCCAAAAGAGTATTATGTTTATTGCTCCTAACGAACATAATATTATTTTCAATATTCTAGAAGATATTGATTTATTGCTCTTGAAGAAGTAATAATAAAATGTAAAGTGTGTATATATATATACACACACATATAATCCTGAAGAAACCCAAATTAAACAACTTGATACTTGGTTGTAATTTTTAAAGAAAACTAATTTTCTATATTAATATTCAAGAAGAATATTAATTTATGAGTATTGAAGAGTATGAATTATAATTTTCAATGTTTTAGAAGAATATTAACATATTGCTCTTAAAGAAACAATAATTAAAGTGCTTTCAAAATAGCAAATTTTTGAAAAATATATCATTTTGAATTCATGTTTTTCCTGAAGGAAAACATATAATTAATGTCATGAGAATATTGATTAGTTTGATTATTTGAATAATATATGATTATATAAGTTTTAATCATATTCTTCGAAATCAAATCATCGAATTATATCTTATAATGAACCAAAAGTTCAATCTGACTTTATTGTTTGGCATGACCAATTGGATCATCGCTGGATTAATAATGATGCGAAATTAAAAATTCTAATAAATATTCAATGAAAAACCAGAAAATTCTTCAATTCAATCCTATATCATATTTGTTCACTTTCATGAAAATTTTTCATTAACCATCATTAGTTAAAATAAAAATTGAGTTCCCTACATATCTAAAAATTAAATAAAGTGATAAATGGGGTTTCATAATCCTTCACGTTGATCATCTAAATATTATTTGTATCTAATAAATTTGATACATATACTAGATGATAGGATGAAGTTCGCAACTTAAAGTTTGTGAAATTATTTTTCAAATTTTAAATTATGAGCATAATTTTCAGATTATATAATTAAAACTGTGTCTTATTAATGCTAATGGGCATAAAAATCCACAATTTAATAAGTGTTAGTTGGTATGTAGATAAATAATTTAACAATATTGTTTGTTAAATGCCTCCAACTAATTTAATTGAAAACAAAGTACTTCCCATTTTTGTTTAGGGAATTTTATTACCCATCATACCAATATCTTAGTTCTCCCATCACACACCAGAGACCCCATCACCAGTGCCGCTAAGGTGATAGAACACCAGTACTCACTGAAGGAATGACTCAGATAGCCATAGACATGAGGGACATTGCAGCCCAGAATATAGCAATGTGTGAGTTCTTCATGCAAGCCCAGGGTCAGTAGGGTTGCATCCAGCTCAAGGACAAAACCCGACATCTCATGCCCAATGTCATTTAAGCTACCACAAAGAACACCCCATTGAGAGAAAAGTGGGAGTGGATGTCACTTCATATAGCCGCCTTACTCACATGGCAGAACCACAGTTGGGAGAAAACTTCCTACCAGAATACAAGCCTCAGAGGTCGGTTAGTGTCTTTGATCGGATAGGGCAAAATCCTAGCAATAGGGTCCGCCCATACAAAGGTCAGCCCAGCATCAGCAGGAGCAGGAGTAGGAACAAGAATTGGAAGTACTTCCTCCACCTAGAAATAGATGAGAGAGGAGAAACCTAGTGGATTGGGGCAGTCGAGGAAGGGCATCTCCGTCTCCCAGAATGCACCAGAAGGGAAAGGTTCTGATGGGCTATGTCGCTCCTATGAAATCTACGATGACGATGATAATCTTTCCTTCTCGAGAGAAACCTGAAGCTTCCTAATGCCCACAAACTTCATGCCCCTTAAAATCCCAAAGTATGAGGGAAAGGAGGACCCAGCACCTCACTAAGTACATGATGCAGATGAGCCTCATCAGCACTAAAATGTAGGGCCTTTCATCTGACACTCACTGGAGCTGTCGAGGTGTGGTACAACAGACTACTACCCCTAAGCATTAGAAGTTAACTAGATTTGAAAAAGGCTTTTATCAACCAGTACCTCTCACGAAGGAAATGAGAAGCCCCAGTACAACACCTACAAGACATGAGGCAAGCCACTGGAGAGACGTTGAAAAGCTATCTCGCCAGATTTACTGATGAAATCACTTACTGTTAACAAATCACCGACAGAGAAGCCCTTCTAACCTTGAAGGGAGCCCTTAACATGAACACTCTGTTCTAGAGAAACGTGCGAAATGAGAATCCAACTACATATGACGAACTGGTGAAAATGATAAGGATGGAGATCTTCAACAAAGAAATGATTGACCACCAAAATTGCGTAGCTCGGGGACTCCCTCAACCTTAGAGGCAGGTAGGTTGAGGATCAGCAGTGCACCTCATCACGCAGCAATAGACCCAAGTAGGGCATATAGTAGTGCCCACCTCCAAACAAGCATTGGCCTCGTTACACTGAATGTAGTGCCAATTTTAGCAATGAAGACGCAACTGTTGAGGCAGGAACATCAGGAGGAACCACCAACACGAACCGAAGAAAGAAGAAGTGGGCAAACAAGCCCCTAAAAGGGGTGAAGTACTGCACATTCCATTAGCTTATGGCCACGACATCCACTAATGTAGAGACACCCCTCAATCTTTACATCGAAGTAACTCAGGCTCGAGGACAGATCATAATCGAAAACGCTCTCGTAGGTCCACCTCTCCCAGCAGGGATACTAGGCGACAAAGGGATCAATCACCTCGAAGAAGAGAGACGAGAGATAGGTCTCGAGGATAATCTAGGAAAAGAAATCAGGCTCCAGCCACCGGAGGCGAGACTATCCAGGAAATAGACACAACCATTGTAGGACCTCACATCGGGGACAACACTAGGAACATCCAAAGGAGCTACACAAGAGAAGCAAATGATCCACCAATGATTACTCACATTGTCAACTAGACCTAAGATGCTAGCAGGATGGCCTCAATCACTTTCTCCCAAGAAGACGCACAAGGCGTTCATCACCCCCATTGCGATGCTTTGGTAGTAAGAGCCGTAGTGACTCGCAACGGACTAAAAAACATGCTTGTTGATAATGCAAGCTCAGTGAACATTATGTTCAGATCAAATTTGGATTAAATGCAAATTAAACATGGTTTGATCCTCATGACCGACCCACTATTTGGATTTACTGGCAATAGCATCGTTCCACGAGGGCAAATCACCTTACCTGTTGAGATGGGATTAACCCCCTTGGTGGCTCACCACTTCATGAATTTCTTGGTGGTAGGCTACAGATCAACCTACCACGGGGTACTGGGTCAACCTTTCCTAAAGGATCTCTGGGCTATCACCTTCATTCATTACTTTTATATAAAGTTCCCAACTGAGCATGGGATTTCCACAATTTGAGGCGACCTAATGGGCTTAAGAGTATGTTATCTCAACTCTCTGCGAAATTCGAGCTTCGCACTGTTAACATGATTATAACTAAAGTCGTTGATGAAGTCGATATAGATATAGAGATGCTTGATGCCCCTGAACAAGGGCATACCTCCAAACAGGAGAAAGACGTCGTTATGATCGAGGCCCCTGAAGAAGGGCACTCTCTTGATGAGTTGGACGCTCGAATTATCGAGTCTAAACCAAATGCAACCCCAATGGAAGAACTTGAAACTTTTTCCACCAACTCCCAAGACCCCACTCAGGTCTTGCAAATAGGAAAAGTGTTGTCCCTTGAAATGAAAGAGGGACTGATGAATTTCCTAGAAAGGAATTTGGATGTCTTTGCTTGGAGGCATGACGACATGGTTGGAATAGACCCAAGGGTCAGTTACCACCATCTTAACATCAACTCCACCTATGCCCCCACAACAGCAGAAGAGACGAGCCCTTAATCCAGAGTAATATGAGGCACACAAAGAAAAGGTCGACAAATTGAGCCGCAATGGCTTCATAAGAGAAGTCATCTACTCAAAGTGGGTATCCAATCCGGTCCTTATGAAGAAACCCTGTGGGAAATGGAGGGTATGTGTTTACTTTACCAATTTAAATAAAGCATGTTCAAAGGACAATTTCCCTTTCCCAAGGATAGATCAATTTGTGGACTCCACTGCTGGACATGAACTCCTAATTTTCATGGATGCTTACTCGGGACATAACCAAATACTTATCACAGATAGAGGATTATATTGCTATAAGGTGATGTCCTTCAGATTGAAAAATGCCAGCACCACATATCAGAGTTTGGTCAACATGATATTTCCCGACCTCATTGGCAAAACAATGGAAGTCTATGTTGATGACATGCTGGTTAAAAGGCTCCACGCGAGAGATAACCTAGGTTACCTTGACAACACCTTCAAAATTTTAAGGAAATACAAAATGAAACTAAACCCCCTGAAGTGCACCTTCAAGTAGCATCGGGACAATTTTTGGGATATATTGTAAACTAAAAGGGAATTAAGGCAAACCCAGAGAATATAAAGGCCTTGTTAGAGATGAGATTGCCCCAGAAGCCAAAGGATGTGCAAAGCCTCAATGGACAGATTGCCGTACTCAGTCGCTTCATCTCTAGGGCCACTGATAAAAGCCTATCATTCTTCAAGGTTTTGAAGTAAGGAAAGAAGTTTCAATGGACGGATGAGTGTGAGATAGCCTTCCAAGAGCCAAAGAAGCACTTGGGAGAGTTACATCTATTATCGAAGCCCAAATCAGGCGAGCCACTTCTGTTATATTTAATGGTCTCAGATGAAGCAGTCGGTGTGGTTCTCGTCAAGGAGAAAGACATACGTCAACTGCCAGTGTATTACACTAGCAAAGCATTGCTCCCAACGAGGACTCGCTACCCAAATATGGAAAAACTTGCACTCTCCTTTATCACAACATCAAGGAAACTGAGGCCATACTTCCAACCTATTCAATTGAAGTTCTCACCAATTTCTCACTTAAACAAGTGTTACAGAAGACAGACGCTTTG